AGATTTATATGAAAAATATATCCATTCTCATAAATTTCCTGTATTTCTAAATAATTAAAGCAAGTATCCATAACACTGTCTTTCTGTAAATATTAAATATCCATGAATGTTAATATTTAAGACACTCTAAATTATCAAGATAAGCATAAGAACATTGGATATATTCTCACAGCAGGTTTGATCAGAATTGGGCCAACAAGTTCAAGGGCTCAATACATGTTTATTTTACAAATAAGCATTAAAAAATTATTATTATTATGATTTTCAAATATTTTCAAAAATCAAGTTTTTATATGTTTACTTATGTTACTAATTTTTTAATAATTCAACTGTTTTTAGATCAATTTCTCTTAGATTGAACTTAAACCTATTAATTATGTTATGAATTTATTAATTATGAATGATTGATGTTTTCAAAAAACTTAAAATCATATAATAAACAATAATGAACAAATTTATTGATGTCATGTTGTTTATATTTTCAATTTTGGTTTGCTTTTAGTTGCATTATTATTAACTTATATCAAATTCCCTATTAGTTTACTTTTAATAAGCCACATATCATATTTTGTAAACATGTAATTTATATAAACACTATATTAGATTTTATTTTTTCCTGTATTTAAATTGATATTAAGCAACTTCAAATTACATCAGAGTACAGATATTTGATCTATGAAATAGGATTACAAGAAATTTAAGCCTCTATATCCTGAAATAAGCTTTAAATTTTAATTGCAATTTTTTTCATCCTGATATATTTCTAGTTAATGTAATCACAGAAATAATCATGATAAATAAACTGTTTCTTATTAACCTTAATCATTCATACTAATTAAATATAAAAAGTTATTTTGAATAATTTAAATGTAATTTGTTTCAAAAACTTAGACAACATTCCAATGCAACTAGGTAACTATTTGGAACAAATCCATAGGAATGAGAAAAGTTCAGAATGATAACTGAACAGAAAAAAAGTTGAATATTAAATTTCATTCAGAGAAAAAATTTTAAAAATTCAGATTTTATTTAATTTTTAAAAATCAACTAAGATAAATAAAAGTAAAACAGCATTAAAGCTTTTATGATTAGAGGGTTGTCAATTTTTTGTAATCTTCCAAATTATACAGAATTTTAGTTATTTTTTAAAAATTGCTTGCAAAGTGAAAACTGTTTGAAAATATTCTGAAAAATGAATGAGAAGTTTGCTTTTTAGCTTGTTCCTTTTTTTCTTGTGGGAAGTCAGCACCTCTAATTGTAATCTGAATTACTGTACTTTCATTTCCACCAGTTTGCCATTTTTCTCTTTCTGCCCCATGGACACTTAGAAGACTTGTTTTAATCATACCTATCATGGGTTTGTCCAGGCCCACAATGGAGATGGCAGGGTGGTGAGAGACAATATCTGATACATCCAGAATGGACATCCTCATGCTCATGCAGACTCCAGTCACTCATGAAACTTCCTGACATCTTGATTCTGGGTCCCCAGACTGGTAGCTGACATCTGAACTGCCTCAGTCATTCAGCTGTCTTCTCCTCATTATCATAATCATCAAAGGATGGAAAAAATGCTGCCACATTTGTAGGTTTTCTTTTTCTCATCACTTTTTCAAGTTCATTTCTTTTACAATGTTTGAAATTTCTTACTCTGAAAGTTGATAATCCTAACTATTTATGATTCCTTTACCGTAGTTGTTTAATGTGATCAAATATATTGTAATTGCTAAATTCACAGTAAGTTCTACTTACTCCTGCTATCAAATCAGGGTAATTAAATTAATTTTAATTCAAAAATATACTAAAAATTTAACAACATATTAAATGTTTTTAATAAATTTTATTATTTTGTAAAATATTCAAAAACTTTCATATTTGTTTTTAATTAATACATTTAGAAATGATATCTGACAACAAATATATTCAGCACACAACTAAACAAAATATTGGAATTAACAACTGAAATTTTAAACCACATAACTTAGAAATGAACAATGTAATTTTAGATCTAGGATGATGACTTAATATTACATTTCTATAAATAAATATTTATCAGCTTATTAAAAAAAGTAAGGAAATTTCTTGACGTCAAGTTATATAAATTTTAAATAACTTGGCCTTCAAAATTCATTCGTAATTTATATAACCTTTTTATAAATGAATTCCAATGTAGACGAATGTTTTAATTAAATACAATTATCATAAATGAAGCAATCTATTAAGAAATATTTGAATTTATTCCTTAAATGATAAAAAAATGAATGGAATTTTTAAAAACCTATTTGAAATATTCATTAAATTGCACAAGAGTGTACTTTGCCTTAGAAAATAAGAAAACATTTTGCATAATAAAATGAATGAGTTCAAAGATTCTCAACATATGTTTGTCCTCTTTCAGTTTCTTTTAATAACTGCAAGACAGTTAAATCATTCATGAAGCGTGCAAAATTAATCCTCTTATCCTTTCAATGTATATAAGGAAATGAAAGACATACATATAATTTTAGCAATTCATTCTCAAGCTAAATCTTACAATTCACATAATAAAATTCTAAGTCAAAAATCCAATTTGTAAGTACTATTTTTTTATTTATTATTTTTGTTGGATATATTTATCAATACAAATTCTGTTTGTTGAATTATCACAATGATAATAAGTAGGTTATTTGTAATCATTATTTATTTTATGTGCTATATAATCTTTATGACATCTTTATATATATTTTCGGCCAGTTATCGCACCTTAAATGTGGCGTGCAAAACATCTAGATCAAGTAAAAGCCATCTTGTTGACCGGTCAACGTATTGTAAGATATAGAAAAAAAAATCATACAGGAAAAATAATTCAGAATTTAAATATTTAAAGCACCGAAATAACACGTGACCTTAAAATAGGTCAAGACGTCTGACCTAATGCGCGCCCCCTGCGAAATTTTAATTGATTTTAAAATCTTATTCCTTTATTTATTTATTTTTAAAATAAAAGTTAATTTATAAATTTATATTATAAAATATCGATAATTCATTTTAAAATTCTAGAGATATTTTTATTATCGATTGTAAACACGGCTGTGTTTTATGTTATCTTTGCCGAAAATACCGACTCGTTCCTATTCCGCCGGCGAAGATTGATATAAAAGTTTATATCTAGTCGCGGACCAGATCTTTCGAGAGGAAACTTGCAGACAATCCGAAGGCAAAATTCCAATGGCGTGTGTATCTAAAAGCGTTATTTAGTTAACATTTAATCTTATCTCAAGGTCTGAACCGCGCTCCATTCGGTGCGTTTTTATTAAAATGTGCCGAAAATTCTATATTAGTATTACCAAGAACAAGGTGTAATTTACCGAACGGAAGTGGTTTATGAATGAAAAACCAGCAAAAAAATTTTTTTCATAATAAACAAATTACTACCTCTATCGAAAGAAATTCAAGTACATATATTTATAGGGAATATAAACAATTTTTTTTAACGTGTAATCTAATTTTTTGCTTTATTTATCATAAATTTTACATAGAAGCGGTAACTCTTTTTTATTTATTATTATATCTTTATTTAACGTTGGTTTGTACTAAAATGTACAAAATTTACAGTTATTTTCCTATACTGAAGTTTGAACTGTGATAAAATGCAGTAAGGAAAGCGCACAGAATAGACCTGTTTTGTAACACGAGAAATGTACAGATGGCCCGCATACAAGAACGAGTTGGGAAGACGCTCGCTGCGTAATATGAGATGTGTACAAAGAACCTGATCGTCGGGGAAGATTCCTAGCAGGTCGAAAGTATTTGCTTCTCGATCAGAAAAAAAATACATGACGATACAAAGCGCTTTCGGTATCTTTGAGCAGGTTTTTAAGTAAGATGTTCAGGTTTTAAAGTAAATCTGCTTAAAAATTTATTTTAATTTGAGTATATTTTAATTCAAATTTTATTCGTTTTACTAAACAAAACACTTTTAATTTGTATACAATTACTTAAAAGTAATTTATTTCCATTTAGCACGGTTATATACGCACATTTAGTACCATTAAAGAGGTTATTTTCAAATTTTAAAGGATTATTTTTAAAAAATAATAAACTTTAAGCATTTTTTAAAATTAAAACTTGAACCTTTTTGTTGTAAAATAATAAAGAAAAAGCCCGATTTAACTCCAGAAAACGTTTATAAAGTATTAGTTTCTCATACAGAAATTGATCTCCAGCTTTAAACACGATCATATTTTTAAAAATTTTGTTTCAAGTTTAACATTTGAGCATCATCCAATAAAATTGGATCCATTTGTAAAAAGATTTTAAAAATTTAACGTGTAGAACCGCACAAATTCGCTTAGTTAGCATATCAACAATTAGGTCAAGGTAAGACTTTTAACTTAAAAAGATTTTTTTTTTAATTTAACGAGTATTAAGCCCTATTATATATACGTGTGATATACATAAAAAAATTATATTTATAACTCGTAATTCATTAATAAGATCATATCGCATGGGAACGATACTTGAGAAGTTTGGGATAAACAGTAAAAATCTATTTTTTGTAACGTTAGGTTATATCATAAGACAAGATAGCAACTTCTCACGTTTTGCACAAGCATCCGGATTAAGAAACAGTAGAATTTCATAATAAAAAGATAAAAATAAAACTTAATTAAGCTAAATTTATGCTAATTAAAATTAAATTTCCGACACAATACAGCTTCCGGAACTTGTAGAAGATAAGGAGTTAAAAATAAAACTTAGAGTAATACGTATATACAGTTAAACTTCTTTTTAGCCTTCCATAAATAGTGTTACAAGTGAGCATCCCCCCATAAAATATTAGAAAACCTTTCAGTATCATAAATTTTGCATTGCAGTAGACCCTACTATTATATGTAATTCTTATTGTTTGAGGCACTTGGGTTTAGTGCCACACACTCCATTTAGTACCCATTTCTGAGTGGAGGCACTAAGTGGAAGTTTAAATGTATTAATATATATCTTACAATGGCGTTACTTACATAATTTGTTGTTGTTAGCTCTCTGCTGTTCGACTTGTCCATTGAGAGTCCTTAATCGACGCAATTTTAATTCTTGTGATTCAAGTTTTTCTTGAAAAAATCGTAGTCGTTCGTTTTCTGTCGTTTGTGCCTCTTGGTGATGCCGAGCCTCTTGCTGCTTTAGAAATTTCAGTCTTTGTACTTTGGCTATCAACAGTTGTTGTTGAGCTTCGATCTGTTGTTGTTGCCTGGCGGCTATCTCACGTAATTCTGATAATGTCAAATCGCTATTTTCTGGCAACTAAACGGTTAAAATAAAACAACAGGCGTTCAAATTAACTCCCGAAATACGTAAAACGGGAAATTAACTTAATTAAATTTCGTTTACGTAACTGAATAATCGGCCATTTTCGGACACGACGGCGAGCGCGTCGAATCCGTTTCACTGATAAATCATCCAATTTATTTTTGAAAGGTGAAGAAAGTAGATAATTAATTAGATTTAGTGATGATGTATATTCTACATTTCAGTTAATCTAAATAATTGTCTTATTTTCTTGCTCCCGGCGCGTCGCGTTGTGAGGCCACGCGCCAGCAGCGACTACGTGCGCTTCGTCGCGTCTAAAAATCAATTAACAGCGATAACAGAAAATATCAAGAACAACACAGAGTAAATATTGCAAATTCGTATAAAAAGATCCTGTTTGTTAATATCACAGATCTGCAATTCGCTATCGATTTTATTAGAATAAATTTCATTTTTTAAAATTTCTGTAGTATAAATTGTGGCGTAGCGCGATTACGCGCTTAAAAATAAATATTTTGCCTCTGTTAACATCTTAAGTTACGTCATTACAGAAGAAAAAGGCCGATAACCTATTAAAACTATAATGAGATATGTGACGCGAGAGGCGAGCGTGATATCGCATGGCGCTTACATGAATACATAACGTGAGAGCGACGCGACTCCAGTTGCGCCATCGCATCCGATTAGAGATAAAACAATACGCGATTAAACAATATCGCAAGCAATTAAGGAAACAATGAATGAAAACTACAGTTCAAGCATTAGTCTGCACGCGATTTTCAATTTTACTACAAACTTAAAATTTTCTTAGCTTAATCCTACGCAGTACGCAAACAACCGCGTGGAAAATCCACGCATAAAACTGGATTAAGGGATCCAATTTCTATGAAAAGGACCGACAGGGGAGTCGTAGAGTCGCATCCCTATGTAAACAGATTAACAATAGGGTATAATTAATCCTAATACTGGTTTTAAACCGAACAAATCTTCGATGTAGCGGAGTTCAACGACCCTTTCTAACACACTAAAATCCAATGCATAACAGTCCGTAGTTACCATTTCGCACCAACAATGGTACATTTTAGCCCCTAGGAATGTTTTGTAACCAAAATAATACCAGTTCTGAAAGGATAGTTTCTAAAACTTGTCCGTCGACCCTCTTCAAACTCCGCTTTCATACATCGTTAGGCAACGGTCGTAGGGAATTTTCTGTAAGGACAACAACCCGACACCGATATAATCTGAAAGCTCAAACGGAAAAAAATTATCTTTATTTATTTATTTTATTTTTTCTAATTATAATTAACTAGGCGGCATTTTAAAGACTTCTCTCTAATTACATTTTTAAGTAGGTGATGACTGATAGAAAACCTTTACCTAGAAAATTAAGTTTAATGCGCGATGTGTATCTGCCAATGGTTTAATTAGTAACCTAAAAAAAAGTAAAATAAATAAATAAATTACAGGTCGCTCTACAACCTTTACTGTAAATGGCAAGTAGGACAAAAGTGATAAATAAATCTGCCTCGAAAAAGTCATTTAGGTGTACGTTATGACGAAATTTGACAGTAGATACATAACTCTATATATAGGTCTTTTTTAAATTTAACTACACGCGCCGGGTTAGGTATCAATTAACTTAACACTAGACTTTTTCGGTAAAATGACTGAAAATTTGGACTTACCAGCACCATCTCGCCGTTATTTACAGTTTGGAAAGTAAAATAAAACCGATAAAACCGACCACACCTCGCCAACACGTTAACAAAGACAGAAAAGTTTGCGTCAGGTTTCGGAGTCCAATGTACAGGAACATGAAAAGGTTTTGAGGTAGACGAATTCCTGGTCTAAATCTCCATCTCGTGTTTCCTCTCTTCGATTCCCAAGTTTTCTATACTCCAACACCCTCTTTCACCCTGCGGTGAGCGACGAACCACTCACTTCTTGGTCCAGCTCCAAACGGCGAGTAGACAGAAAGAGCAGAATACGCTCTAACCCAAGCGGTCACGTGCGCGTGACGTCACGCATCGGTGTCTGTTTTTTAACACGAGGTGCAAAACAAGTTTACGTCTTCGCTCGTTTGGTATTGACGTTAGCGCAATTAACGTATTCGTTTGCGTATAGAACTTTCTTTTTTTCTGTTATTTTTCCTTTCTGTGAAGTTCGTGTATAAACGTAAGGCGCACCCCTCTATTTAGAGCCGTACACGTGTTTATCGTACGCTTTCCGCACACGTGCTCTTACCGAACAAAATACGAATTCGTTCTGTTTCTAAAAGAAGCACGAAATTCTAAAAATGTCGGTTTAATCATCCTTTAAAGTTAAGACCGAATCGAGTGGTGTATTATGCGATTTTTATCACGCCCCTATACTTAATAGGGACTATCTTTATATATACTGTATTATGCATACGCGTATACATACCAAATTTGGTATACGTATAATGCCGTTAACAGCCGCTAGGTGGAGCGACTTATCGCCTTTATAATAGACTATCCCATTGTTTGAGGGGGTGTGCGACGATTAACGAGGATCTTCGGTTTTGTGATTTAGAATTTCCTTTCTTCCGCCGTTTGCCAGTTTCGTGACTGCTTTTCCTTTGCTCGATTGACGTTTGTGCCCGAATTTCGCTTATTGAATCACGTATATTTAACGAAATTACTGTATTTTAGCTTTCATTTATTTCCTTAGAAGAACTGCTTGCGTATAAACGCAACGAACCATTTAAAAGCTTGATTTTTCCTTAAAGGATTGGCCACTTTCTATATAACAACATTATTTTCCTTTCTAGGAGAAGGAGCATCAAGAATGTGTTAGAACACCGTAACGAGATAGGGAAAATATGTGATTTTTTCCAAACAGTAAACTTACTTAATTGGAAATTTATCGATGTATTCTGTTGACATTCAACACGTGTGTGACAAATCTATTTAAACTGTTATTATGGTTGTTTAAATGTCTCTATCTAATGTATTTAGAAAGTATAAGGTTCTAACAAATATTTGCTCGTATACAACATTTGCTAACACGGGAAAACAATGGAAGTAATTAACTATTGTCTTGATAAGTTCTGTATGGAAGAAACTGTAGTAGTTGAAAGGGTCTCGATAATCAGGAAAATTTCTCATAGTGTTGGGAAACAGACGGTAAAGGCGTCAGCCTGCTTCTTTGGGAGGCCCGGATCGACCTCCAGGAATTCTTCACGGGCGGTCTGTCCTGGATGTCGGATTTCGTCCCTCGTTATTCAACCACTCCGATTGTGGGCCCGACCAAACTCTCAGACGCATACGATTTAAAGGCCCTAATCTTTATTATGCTTTCATACTTAGTGGTCACAGGGCGAAGAGTTTAAAAAAAAAAAAACGCTTGAGAAATTAAATTGTAAATCGGTGCCATGAGTGCTAGGTAAATACTTCGTGTAATCACACGTTAATATATACAAAAGTTAATTTTTTTAAACTCCAATTTGAATTACCTTAATAAAAAATCATCGAAGACAATTCAACTTTGAAACTTTTGGTATTGATATTCTATTGGTACGTTTTAATTTGTACCCTGTAGAGACAGAGGGCTTTTAATCATACCAAACAAGAGTTCGGCCATACCCACAATGGCTACTGAGGGACGAGGCCCGACATATAGAGGGGTTTGTCCGGCGCCATTTTTGTGGTTTGTTTACTTTTTATTTATGTTTACGGCGCTTTGGCCAGAATTCTTGTGTTGTTTATTAGTGGTGAATTGTTGTGTAATTGGGTGTAATCTCAAGAACAATCTAGTTTACTCAAGAACAAAGAAACGTCATTTTTTAAAATTTCCGGCATTATTTGTCATAATGGACCCCAAACTGAGGAGCTTTCACAACGAAGGCAATTTGCACGGCTCTCGAGAATTAACTAGAAAAATTTCAATACGGGATAAAGTGAATATCGATACATGAGTTTGTCAGAAACATTTCATTTCAGGTGAGCAATACACATTTGATTACTATTTATCAATAAATGATTAGATAAATTTTTTCATGAGTGTCAGTGAAGTGTGTGCAAGCCAGTTGCATAAATCCCTTTGTTAATACCAAAAAGAATAAAGTTAAATAATTTTAACAATCTCAGGTTTTAATTTAAATAGATCGTTAGGTAAAAAATAATAATTGTGTTCTTTCAGTTTGGTGTATTAGTCTCTGCTTGTAATAAATATACAGTAAAGTTAATATTAAAATGTTAAGCAAAGTTAATCGCTTAGCAGATGAGAAATTAGAAATGAATTTTGAACCAATTGTCCTTCCAGTCTAATTTACATAAATAAAAGTGGGTGTATTTTTTAAGATATAAACCAATAATTTCCATTGTTCATTTAGATAGGTTATTTTGGTGAGCAACATTAACTAACTTAACATTTCTTTAAGATGTTCCTTTTTTACAGTGATTTTTTGTGCATTAGTAACAAATAATCATTACATAGTAACCTTCAGGAGTAGAAGTGCATCTAGGTAACCCTTATGGCGGCACTTCCGGAATTTCGACAACACGCGTGTGTTGAAAGTGAATCTAGGTGCCGTCGCTGTTTTTAGTGTACGAGATTTCTAACGTCATTTCAGTTCAAGATTAATTTCCTAACATTTTATAACTTTGTTAACAGTAATTTAATTATTCAGGTTCAAAACGTTATATTGTTGTGCGAATAATTTTTTCGAAGTTTACATTTGATATTTTGTCGTTTATTGTTGTAATGGCGGAGTTTGGAAAATAACAATTTTCTTGGCAAAACTGTATTTCAAGGGATATTTTTCATTTTTTAATATCGGAATGTCCTGAATTTAATTTCGACAAGAGAATTTCATTAGATGTTAAGTTTGCCATAAAGTTTGGTATGCAACCTGCAGATGCAGATTGTTCGAAATGTGATGGTCGTCGTAAATTAAATTATCGAAAGAATCGTGATTCTGTTTCTTTCAGATATCATAATTGCAAGACGAACAGTTCGTCATTTGAAGTAATTAAACGTAGATTTGTGAAAATTTCTCGGCGAATTACTTTTTTGTTTATTTGGCATCTAATTTGCATAAATGTACAGGTACAGTACAGTACGTTGAGCATCACCTGTTTGAGTGTGGACGTGAGTAGTCGAACAGCTGTTGACTGGACGAATTTCATACGACACATCATAGTCTAATTTTACCGAAACGAAAATTGGATGGACCTAGAAAGGTTGTCGAAGTCGACGAGATTGTTGTGAGCAAAAGGAAAAAATAGGAGAACGGTTTGACCTGTTTGTTCAGCGTACGAGTAAGTTTTATCCAGTGTTTTAGTTTGGAAAGAGTTTTGTGTTTTATCCAGTGTTTTAGTTTTGGAAATATTGTACTTTCAGCTCCGAAATTAAGTACCAAAAAATTCAAAAATTGTAAGAGGAAGAATGTAGAGGTGTGTTAAGAATGAGAAAAAAGTTTTTACTATGGAAAAGGATAAAGTTACGAAAGAATCATCGAACCTTATTTTTTACCGAATAAATCGGAGTAAAGGAATTATCAATAGAAATATGGGCTGTACTATAGATTCGTTGAACTCGGTCCCCTCAGTTCAGATATATACAGTACCGTACTCAAAGTTCCTAGATTCCATAGGTGGTAATCTATATAATCCCCGAAATATGTCAACGGTGAGTGAAAGATTTTTTTTCTTTAATAAATGCCGGTGTAGTAAGTAGCTGCGCCGGTCGCCATCTTGTTTGTGGACGTCGCGTTCACAAACAAATGGCGACCGGAAGTGCCGCCATACGGGACATTCCAATTTTCAACGAGAGTGTTGAGTGTTGATACCAACAATTTGACGTCATCAACGACGTTCCAACTTCGAGTTCGAAGTGCTTAGTTCCCACAATTCCATTCTCCGCAAGATGGATGTCATTCAAGTGTCTTACCAATTACCCATAATTCATTGGAGATAGCGGTCAACATATCTGTTGAGTGCTGAGTGTGTTGAGTCAGCGTTGAAAATTGGAATGTCCCGTAGGGACTACTTAAATGCAATTTTACCTACATGAGGTATGAGAGTGACCACAACCAAACTGAATATCGGAAGCGTTATGAAAGAGCACATCATCAGGAGAAACACAGTCACTTGTAAGATAGCTTAAAATCTTTAGAGCCCCAAATCTTTCATTTGTGAAAGTGTAGTAATTTGTCGTCAAAACCAAATAGTTTGATGTCACCAAATTCTACTTTAGACTCTAGATCTACAACGAAGATGCTGGCTTCGTATGGATCGACACCTTGATATGAAGAAATTTTCTCTTCGTATAAAGCAGAATTTTGTCCTGTCAGACTGCGAGAATAGTCCGCCAGAAAAACATCTTTTTTAACTTTGTCCATGATATGAAAATACTGCAGTTCTCTTAAGTTTAAATTCAAAAAAGTGTTGCCAACCTGTCAAATAAACACGTGCAAGCTAAGCAAGAGGAAGCTAGACCACAAACATGGCGAAGGGGCGGAGGAAACGTGCGTTAAAAACGGTTTGCTCTTCCCCTTCACGTGACATGCGACCTAGAAACCTCTCTATTCGGGTCAGGCTGTTGACGAAAAATCCCCGGAAGTTGCTCATCCCGGGTCCTCCAGAGTGGTAGGCAGATGCCTTAGCTAACTCGGTCATCCGGCCGTGTCTAAACGGTCTTCGTTCCTTAAACACTGGTAGTTCGGTCGTGGGTTTGCGTCTTGCTCGGACGGGCTAGCCACGTGGAGTTTTCTCCACGTCTGTAACGCCTAAATAGGGGCCAGTTTCCCTTAAGATCTCCCGGAACGCCTCCCCCTCTAGGCATATCGCCCAAGTGTTGCGTTGCCATAACTAAACAAACATACTCTACTGCTTTCTGGAGTTCCGGATCTTCAATCTTCACATTCTCGAATCTCAAAATGTGATTACAATTTGTACTAATTTTGTTTTGTAAAAAGACTTTAATGCAGTCCAATCCGAATACTTTGGGTCTAGTCTCTGGTTCTCCCAACGTGGGCCTAGGGGA